TGCAGGTGTCCCAATGGGAAACAGGAAACAGGAAGAGTCTATTGTGCTCAGAAAATGCAGTAAAAAAAGAAGACAGAGAGCAGCATGCAAAATAAAATGACTAAAAGACTTTACTGCTTCCAGTTGTTTCTATGGGGTTCTCAAGGACCTTGTTGTTTTTGTTTTTCAGAATAAGCAAAAGGGACATATCTTTGAAATCTTTCTTTCGTACTCTGTGTGCTACTTTGTACTTACGAATCTGAGTCCACATTTTCCAGACGGAATCCTTTGCAGGCAGAATGTAGAGTGTAGACTTACAAGATCATTCATTGTTTTTAATTACATTTTGAAACTTGGAAAAATGTTGAAACTTCCAAAACACACATACATCTCTATGTTTTGTCACCTCTCTTAGTGATGGGAAGCACCTAGGAGAAGCACTAAAGTAAGACAAGGGATCAGATCTTCTTGATCATCCAGTCCAATTATCTTTGTCATACAGTGCCTTTCCCTTATCAAACACCACCTTAACAATAAATGGGTTATTCAACTCCATAATCCTATAAGAAGTCTATTCAAGAACTTGATTATCCCAGCAGTTAAATGGTTAATTTACAATCTGCATGTACTGATGACTCCTTCTGTTCTTCTGATGAAATTGTCCTGTAGCTTAAATAATCCTTCTTCCTAAGTATTTGTGCCCTGCATACTTACAGAGATTTCCTTCTGAGCTTTTGTTTTGTTAAGTTAATAAGCCAAAATTATCAACAAATGTTTTCTTGTAACTTAGCTGCTTTTGTTCTCACCATCCTGTTAACTCTTCTCCATCCCTCTTTTGCATAGAATTGATGTCCCTTGGGAAGGTGTAGCAAGAATTCTACCTGACTTTCCAAAGGAAATCTTGTACAGTGCTATCAGTATTTCCTTTCCTGAAGTACTGCTACCAGAGATACCTCTTTGCATGCATTTTAGAGATGCAGTTCTCTTTTTCACAGCTGCATCAGGTTATGGTTCATAATTGTCTTTTGCTCAGGAAAAAAGTTATTTTTCTTTTTCTGTTGCTACTAGCTGATGAGTTCCTTGCCTATAGCAAAAACTAATTAACTCTCTAGTATATGACCTTGGACTTCGTGCTACTGCATTTCCTCCTATTTCTGTTACTTTGGTTCACAAGAATCATCAGTTCTTCCTGTACTGTATTCTATTCCTCCAAATTGATGTTGCTTTCCAGTTATGTGTCATCAGCAAATTTTATTAGCACATGCTGACATTTTGAGCCAAGGTTATTAGAGAATACATTAAGTAAGATCAGTCTTGGAAACAGTCCTGATGAACTAGTCCCTGTCACTCTGATCCCTTCCCTTTTGCCACTGACTGTGGCCTTTTCCGCATATCAACGTTTTGTCAGCTTAAATGAATCTACTGCTCTCCAGTTAAATTAATATCTTCCCCTGCAGCTGTTTTGGAACCTAGGTTTGTAGTATTTACCCCATGTCTAGTATCTAGAAAATCAGTTATCAGATTTGAGAAGAGTGATCCACACTGTGTTGAACCTGTCTTGCATTTTACTCGCGTTCATCTCTGAGCCTTCAGCTGCGGGTTTGTTTTTCTCCTTCAAGTCATATGCATAGAACTGCTTCCTAGAAGATAAGGCAGATGGGCTCCCAGTTGGGCACTCAACTATTTTTACCTGGGAGGCAGGGTGAGAACAACCCGGACGGCAGCCTCCAGCGAACACCCACGTGCGTGCAGCTCTGCTCTGGGTTGTGGCTGTGGTCACACAGCTGTGGACCTCTCCCTTCCCTGTAAATCCATTCTGGAGCAGCCCACGTTGCCGTTTCCCTTTCCTTCATGAAAGGATTTCAGTCACCACCATTCAATCACACAGTTCCATTCTTGGCTAGAGGGATGTGCTCAAAATACTTGCTACCTGTGTTTTGCTTATTATAGTTGAATGGGGACTTCTGTTAAACATTCAGAACTGGAGTTTAAACAATTCCTGTAGGAAACTGTGCATCACGGATGCCTATAATGCCACAAGCCTCATAGTTTTCCCTTCGTCGTTTAGAGTCTTCTAGAAAAATGTCAGGTAAGACCTGACTTTTTAATTAAAAAAAAAAGGCAGTATGACTTTTTAATTAAAAAAAAATAAGCAAGCAGAAATGAGACAATTAAGATGAGTAACTGCCAATTATTTCCTAGAAGACACAGCAAAAAGAACCACAACTTTTTCAGGCAGTGGCTTGCACAGTGATGCATTTCTCCACCAGTTTGTCTTGCAGGCAACTCATCAAGCAACAGATCTAAGGAAATTCACTCTAAGTATTCTTTTGATTAAAAACCAAACAAACAGCTGAAATCAACTCCCACCCCATGTAGCATGAAACGGAGTCAAAGCTATGTACCTCTGTGTATCATCTCCTCATAGTAAGTGGTTCTGCACCGCGGTATCTTTTATCCCAACAAGGGCACCGGTCTCCTTCCCATGGGCTGCAGAGCCATTCTGATGTCGACTTGCATTTCTTTTGTGCTGCTGCAAAGATGGATTTAGCCTTTCCCAGATCTACTCTGCAGCACCCGAACACACACAAACAGTTTGTCATTTCCTAAATCATCAGCATCATCCCTTTGTGGAGTGACAGTTGCACGGTGCTGTCTGTCACAGCGGATGCGGGATGGTGGCAGCACTGATCTCCCAAAGTACACGTGTGCACCAGCAACCCCGCAGCCACCTGACCCAGCAAACACCCTGGTGTAGAGCAGGCTTGGAGCTGGGGGGCCCTGCACCATCCCTGCCATTTCTGTAGATATCACCCTGTGTTGTGTGCAGTCCTGCTCATGCGGTGCCCTCCTGGGTGGGCACGTCACGTCAGCCAGCTGGGAGAGTCTCAGGCTCTGCTTGGCCCGTGCCCATGGAGCACAGCCTGCGGCATCCCTGGGGATCCTGGTGCAGGGATGCCAGGGCGGTATGTCCGCCTGCCGCACAGGCGGCGCTTCCGTCACCTGGGCGGGTGCCAGCTCTCTGGGCAAGTCCCGCTCTGCCCAGGAGAAAAGTCAGGAATGACGTTACCCTTTGTAAAGAATTAATAGCCTTAAGTTGTGGTCTGCAGGGGAAAGCGTTATTGGCATAGCTGTGCAGAGCATGGAGAAAAGTCACTGTCTCAAAGTTGTAACTGTGAAACACCAGCTGAGATGCAACTTCACTTGCACTAGCAAAGCCGTCTTTCTGACAGTATAGCTCACCTTGTTTGAAGACCCAACCTTGGCTATGCTGACAAGGGCTTTCTGGTGCACTAGGTGCACTAAGGGAGCCTGTGGTGGCCCACAGTACCAACATGTCTGGGTAGCCCAGGCACACTAAACCAGCTTGTCACCAACTCCTGTCACCCAACGATGCAAATGGCTTGGCCAGGACTACCTCACCCTCCGTGCAAGCAGAGAGGGAGCTCAGTCTCATCCCACCCCATGTGGCTGGCGTTGCTTCTGCTGGTTGGGATTTCCAGAGGGAAAGCTAAAACTGCATTGTGCACTCGCTGCTCTGAGCTGGAGACCAGTGACCCGACCTGGCTTAGCGCTTTGCTGAGGCTGCTCTGTGGCTCATGAGCTGACGCGGAAGCTGTAGATAAGCATCAGAGCACATTGTGGTTCATCCCATCCTTCACTTGCATGCACCTGAGCAGTGCAGAGAGACTATGCTTACTGGATCACACCTGTAATGTCCTTCATTTAATTACTAAATAATTTTACATTAAGGGAGATATATTCATGTACCACTTTTACTCTTGCCTGCCCACTGCTAGAGGCTTCTAAGAGGAACGTTAACGCTCTTAAAACTTCGCATGAGAGAAGTAAACTGGTGGGACTTCATGCAAAATGAGTGGTGAGTGACTGGTTAGGAAAAAGGGAAGTGAATTTCACATGATAAAATCAGTGTGTCTAATTAGCACTATAATAGTAAAAATCCCAAATACTTTAAGACTGAAGGCAATCAGAAACTGAAGTATAAAAAGTTGCTTATGCAAATAGAAGTAGTAAAAATTAATTTTTTGGAGAAGTAGGAAATAAACACTTTGTTCTTGTCGTTTTTAATTTGTCCTGCTCCCCTATTTTTAAACTCATCATAAGCAAAATCATTTATTATATATATATATATATATATACACAATCTTTATATTACTGATATTAGGCTATATAAAATAGAATTTAGCTCACACATGACATGGACATAAGGATGTAGCACCCTTTCCAGAGGAATATATCTATTCCTATGCTCAGCATCTCTCTCTCCTTAAGTCTTCATTACTAGGTTATTTATGAGTATGTGATGTATTAACTAATTAATGTATGTTCTGGTCGTTTAGAGGAGTGAGAACATTTTTATTTAGAAGCTGGTAATAAAAGTGAGTCTTTCTTTGAGGAAAAAGAGGCTTCCCTTGAGGACCATGGCTTGCTTTTAAATAAACAACTATGAGGCAGCAGTTCTTGCTAACACTAAGAGTGAAGCTTTGAGTTGCACATTGTGCTTTTGGTGTGCAAGTTAGTTACTGGAAACCAAAGTAGCTCCCAAAGCCTGCTATGGTGAAGCACATCAGCTCCAGCAGTGCTTGGCTGACACCCCAGAGCCTTGACACAAACTGCTCCTGAAGGAGCATCAGGCCCATTTTGTCTTGGGCCCAGAGGATTTAACCAGCTCAGTGCTGAGCATGCACCTCTCAGCTGCCACCACGTAACGCTTCAGCTCTGTCAAAGCAGTGTATTGCCATGCTCTGAACAGTGATATTTTCACAGACGCTTTGCTAGGTGAGATGGCAATCTGAGCTAGAGGGTCAGAAACACAAAGCTCTGAAGGCAAACAACCTCTGTCTCTGCTCTCTTTAGCGAGAGTAACTCCCAAGTGGCTGCTCTAGATGCTAGAATGTAATCTACTATTACCAAATCTCTTTAATTAAAATTCAGTTAGAGGAATCCAAAGTGCAGATTTTTCCCCCTCCTCTCCCAGTTGGAGAAGCTGTGGGAGACACAGGGCCCCTGATACTGCAAGTCCTTGGGTGGCAAGCAAAGATTTGAGATGTTGGACGTTGAGCAGCAGTACGGCTCACCACAAACTCCTGGAGATAACTCCTGAATTGTGCCAGGAACTATTTTTCCTGAACTGGTCTTGAGGATTGTTAGCTAAGTCACTGTCAAAGGATTCTTGAAGTTACTTATTTGTGTCACAGGCAAGTTAGAAGGCCTTGATTAAGAGCTTGTACTGAAGCACTGGCAATAAGAGAGATACACAACATACACAGCATCGCCTCTTTAAAAGTTGCTTGCTTCTTTTCTGATGAAAGGGCAATCTATGGTAATGTCTAAAGAAGAGGGAAAGCTCCTGCAAAGTAAATTGTGGGATTTACAGCAGTGTTTAGAGACATTCTTTATCTCCTGATGTTACTGAAGAGCAGGTTTAATTTAGAGTACAGAGCAAGTCTGCTCCTAAAAATTATCTTCTATTATATAGTAGAATTGGGAAACTTACTTTGGTTAGCATGCACATAGGCACTCTGTTCTTAAATCCATATTATAGCATGCACTGAGAAAATTTCATAGAAGTTGTAACATAGCTATAACAGTAGCATGCTTACCAGTCAGACTGTATGACATAATTTGAAGATTATTACATTTAAGTGAGCAATAAAACAAGAATTGGCAACTAAAAAGCCCTAAGAAGCAGCCAAAAATCTCCTAAGAAGTGATAACACATTCATTCTCTAAAGCTTGCAAACTCCATGTCTGTTTTACCTACATCTAGTACAGATTTTGTGTCCTTTCCTCACACACACCTGCTTCTTTTCAGAGGAAAATTATTTCTTCTACTGCACTTTCTAGATATCTGCCAAGAGCTCAGCACAGCAGTAATGAGCTGAGTTGATGCCTAAATTAATCTCTTATTGATGCACTGCAGGTGTTACCATTCCACCTTCAAATGCAAGGGGGTGTTAGGATACAACCTTTCCTCTGGTTAACCTGAGTTTGTCTTCTGGTGAAATTAGAGTTGGTGGTTCCTGGTCTTTCTGAAGTCTCTGTGTTCTGTCTGTTATGGAGAATGCTGGATGATACTACATCAAGTTATTTAAATGCTAGTTGCCTGAAGAGAGGGAGACTGTTTCTGTTCCATTACAGATATCTCATTTATAGACATTTATTTATTTATTTATTTATTTTTGTCAGATATGATCACAAGCCCTCAATGAGACCACTCAACATAAGCTTGTTGGATAGTACAGATCCCTCTGTGACTGTGAAAAACAAATGTTTTCTTTCATCATTTCAGTTCTGCAGCTGAATCTCAGTATTTGGATTAGACACTTTGGATTACTGCTTGAGCAGTATATTTATAGGATGACTCCTCTTCTGGAAAAGAGCTTCACATATTTTTATATATGATATCTGGAAATAGTAAATTGGATATGTTCAGGAGCTCTCAAAATGTAGATACCTATCCTACTGTGGTGCAGCGGCCTTGGTAGGTTTCATTATCTGGCTGAGAAGTCATCAAAAAACAAACAGACCAAAAGTCCTGTGCTAAACTAGTCTGACTTGAACATCTGGAGCATTAGGAGTAGTAAAAAAAAAAAAAAAAAAAATGAAAGGGCCTGCTGTACTCTGTGCCAGTAAGACTTGCAATCCAGAAAGCGATGCAAATGACTAAAGCTGAGTGATCTCCTTTCTGTTAGCAATCAGTGCGACAGACCTAACCACTTTTTTTTTGTTTGCAAATTCTCTTGAAGTAAGTGCTGCTGCTTACAGATGTGATTGCCATTTGCATATACTTTGTGAATAAAGTTGCGGGTTAGTCATGTACTATTCAGGATGACTATTGCTTGAGTGTTCATTGTTTATAGGGCGTGATTCATCAGACCTGCAAAGGGATTCTAAGAAGGGCTGTATGAACATTACTAGAAATATGTGTGTGAATGCATATTCAGAAATCCTGAGCGTGTTTTTGGTGCTTTTCATCTTTCTGCAAAACAGCCTTTGTTTCTGAAGAAAACTTTGTACAGAAAGTATCCTGTAATTAACAACTTTTAAATGGAAATGATCATGGAAAAATTCTAGAATCCATTTACATCTGTCTGAATATCTCGTTTGTCTTAGAATATTTCTGTCAATATTGAGCAAATCAACAAGTGGCCAGCAAAGGATAGAAAGGCATATTATGGCAATGTGTAGAATCTAGTGAGATGTTTCATGTGGTTTTCTGTATGTCTTCCCCTTGAAATGAGTACTTGAGCCTCAGTCACAAGAAGCTTTCCTGTTGTATAATCCTCTTTTTTTTTCTTTTTCTTTTTATATTCCAAACATGCCTTTAGTCTGAGCAATGCAGTGTCCTGACATGGCCTTGTCTCTTCATCAGTCTCAGCTGCTGGCTTGCCAAGGCAAGACTCATCCCGTAGCCTCTTGGTGAGGAGAGACTGCAGCATCTCGGGGGCTGTCAGCCCTGCAAGGCTGCGTGGGCTCAATTCTGGTTACAAAAGCAGTGTGAACGTGGAAGCGTTTCAGCTGTGTGGCATCAGCCAGTAGATCCTTCAATATGAGTGGACCGCATAACTGGGTATCCTGAGAGCAGTCGGGACTGCATCAGGTGGCTGCCCTGGGTGATGAAGGCGGCCCCTGGCCGGGGTAGCATGGGTGGCCCCAGGGCTAGCACTGGGTGCTTGCTGCGCTCTGCAAGTGCCGAGGTAGCTGTGGTGCTTAATCCCAAGGAGTTTCCGCTCTCTAGCTGGAGCCCTGATGTAACCAGAAAGCAGAACTGGGAGCAGGAAGAAAAAGCGGCGGCTGGGGGAATGATGAGACTAATATTAGTGAAGTCATGTGGCTGCATGTGCTGGCACTGTGGGGCTCAGGGCCTTCATAAACACTTAAAAATATATGTATATATTTTTTTAATCAGAGGAAAACTGCCTGTGCTCCCCAAATGTCTCCCTTCTTTTGACCTAATTTTCGTTAAGAAAAGATAACCAATTCTGCTGGGGGTTATTGGTGGGGGATAGGGATAGACGCGAAGCTGAGGTTCCTTCTTTTTCAATTTTAAAGAATAAAAAGACAAGAAAACAAAACACATAGTAGGAGAATTGTCCTAGCCCCAGCAGTCCCCTTATCTTTCTTTTTCTGCTGACTTCCTGCTCTGAATGCTTTGGCAGCTTTTAGGACAGTGTCTAAACTTTGCAAACATAAAGGAATTCAAATGGAACCCTGGACGTCATCACATTTTCCAAGCTGGCCATAAATCACAGTTTGTTATGGTTATTTTCTCATGAGGCAAAACATGTGCAAGGAGATAAGAGCCCAGAGGAAGGAGAGACATAGGGTATCTCAGACGAAAAGAAATGCAAGTAGGAAAGATCTAAAAAGAAATGTTTTGACAAGGCAGATTGAGCTGAACGGCCATTGAGGAACTGGGGTGCGTGTTTGGCTTCTCACTGTTGCAGGGACATTGCCCCAGCCAGTTTTAAGTAACTTGGCTATGGAGCTGTAAGAGAGAAATTTCTCCCTTGTCACTCAGATTAGGTATTACTAAAAATTGGATTTTCCCTGTGAGGTAGTATTTTCCAACCACAATAATATTACTGTGATTCATCAGCCAGATCTTCAGATGGTATAAATAGATGGAGCTTCCATTGGCTTAGGTGGTCTTGCACCGGTTTGCATCAGCACGAGAAACTTGGGGTGGAAAGTTCCTGCCGCTTTGCGCAATTGCTGTCCCAGGCCCTGTCAGCTAGTCTGTTACTGCGCATTGGTCTCTAGATTAACTATCCCAAGTGAACTGGAAAACTCAGTTCCTTTTAATGAACTGAAGTTGCAGGATATTTTCCTTTCAGGAAGCTTTCCCTTATATCCATCATGTATTTTCCCATGTTTAATTCTACTTTGTTGCTCTTAATTTGACCCCATTTTCCTCTGTTGTAGGTGCTTTGGGGATATTTAGGGTTTGGGATGTTCTGTTACCCTTCTGCAGCAAAGCTGGGTGTGAAGAGTCTGCTTTGGAGCTGCTCTAGAGACCAGAGCAAGAGCCCGGATTTCATGCTTTTAAATATTAATCTTTTTAACCAGGGAGTTGGCTGCTTGGCTGGTGGGAGGTTAACCTGAGGAGCAGCTCTAGACAAGGGAGGTAATTATATTTATGCCTCAGACACACTGTGCGGCATGCAGATGAGGGTTAAGTGGCCATAATTACCTACGCAGTGTGCAGCTTGTCATTGTTGTTTTATCATGACAAGAGCAAGGCCACCTGAGCCTGGACCTGTTGCTTTGGCTGTTCTTGGGTTTCCAAGAAACTTCTCACCCTACCTCTTTTCTCCTCTTGGCCAGCGTATTTCATAAGAACAATGCCCAATCACTGTGTTAAATGGTGTTCAAAGGTGCTTTTACTTCCTTTTGTGCGCGGTTATTTGCTCCGTTATGATGCTGTGACTTGTAATACAATCTGTGTTATTTTCAGACATTTTCAATGAGGCATTTTCTGCATCCCTATTACGCATGGGTCTTATACTGGGAATATATATAGTTTGACCAAGTTTTCTCATTTACAGTAAACAATGGCTTAATCTTCCTGGGTTCCACAAATAAAATATATCAAAATTCTTTTAAGCTGGATTTGGCAAAAAATAGAATAGGTAAGTAGGGAGGGCACTGAGCCGTTGGAGCTGCAGGGACTGCTGAAGCCCATGCAGCGCTGGCCTCTGGGCCTGTCTGCAAACTCTGCTGAGGGCCTCAGCCAAGGTGCTGTCCTCTTCACTGGTGACCTCTTCTTGCTGTTTCCCCTTGTGACTCTTCAAGATGCGGCTGATGGCTCCTAGCTAGATGAGGTTTGCAGCATATTTTGAAGGTCATTTGGTGTATGGTTTCTCACTTCCTAAGCTCTGGGAAACAGGAAGGTGTGCTGGGCAGGAGCTCCTTAACCCTGGACCTAGCAGATAAATATGTTCTGGTATCTTTTTGCTTTCTGGAGAGGAGGGGTGTGTCAAGGGCAGGAAGCCAAAAAACAGACTTAAAGGAGTTTTTCACTGGTGTCTTGTGAGAAAATGTTTGTCTCTAAGTGGTGCAGACTTCATTGCACTTAACTATATGCTACTATGTCCCTACTCTCTAATTTTTTTAAACACTGTTTTCACCACCACCAGTCTTTTTTTTTTCCATATAAAGAACGTGGTGTTTGCATTAGACAGGACCTTGTTAAGCTACTCCTCTCTCTTCCAGCTTATATCCCTTCTTTATATGCTTGGAGCAGACGATCTGACCTCTTACTGTCTGGAATGAGTGGATGGATGAGTGCTGCCTCTTTACCTTGAGCTTGGGGGCAAAGAGATGCCAGGGATGGGGCAGTCCCATGGCCTGGCTGCTCTAGAGAAGCAGTCTAAGTAGGGCCCTGGGCAGTGGTGCACCAGAGTCCTTAACTTTGGATGGTCTCTGCTCTGCAGTGGTTGCTTATGTTATTGAACTCCCTCATTAAACATCTTCATGTTGCTCCACACTAGCTATAAGGGCTCTCCTCGATCACTTATTCTCTTAGGTAATCTTATTTTTTCTTGCCAAAGACATGCTCCAAAAACAGGATCAGCAGACACGGCACGTCAGTGGTGGCCGATTGCTCTGCTACTTGTGCTCCCTTGGCCTCCACGCTAGCTCTGCCTCGCTTGGTGAGGCTCCCCATGTGCCATGAGAGCTCCCAGGAAGCAGCAGCGAGTCCAGCAGGGAAGCAAGCCTGGAAGTGAAGGATCTGCTGGGAGGTTGTGCTTCTGCAGATGGCTTCCCCAGTGTTAGGAAGGGCTGTGAGGGGACCCAGCAAGGAAGGCTTGGAGTGCTGTGAGGAAGAGGAAGAGGAAGAGTGGTTCACTAGGTGGCAGTCTGCCCTCCAGCTCCCGGTGGGAACATGGGTGACCTTGTGCTTGTGGAAGAAAACTCAAACCAATTACCAGAATATGCCTACAGACTTAGTAAATCAAATTAACAAGATAATTTCTAGTTTTAGGAATCTCAAGACTTCAGGTGCCAGTAATGATTTGGGGTATGGGAGTGTTTTTTAAAATTGTTTTGGAATTGGCAGATCTGCTAGCATTAGTCTTGGCCATGATCCATCTTCTTGCTTCCAAGCTTTTTGCTTGCCCAAATTCCTATTATTTCGACTGGATAGTATTCTCTTCTGCTTCTGCACTGCTGTGCAGGGTGACCGCTGTTTAAAGGCTGTCAGGCCTGATTCTCATTTACGCTCTGGCAACCCAAACCTTCACACACACTTGAGGGTCGTTTTCCCTCTTCCAGAGCCTTGGAAGGAAGACTACTCTTAGCAAAAAAACGAATGCAGGATGCAGTGTTCCCCCTCCCCAGGG